GCTTGAGGGGCTGGGGTGAATGGGATACAATAAAATAAAATTTATTTTTATTTTATTTTATTTTATTTTATTTTTTGGTACCGGGGATTGAACTCGGGTCCTTGCACTTGTGCAGCAGATGGTGAAACCACTGAGCTATATCCCTGGCCTCAACACCAATTATTAAATAGGCTGTCTTTCCTCCAGTGAGGATGGTTGGCTCCTTTGTCAAAGACGAGGTGGCTGAGTATATCTGTGGTTGTTTCTGCATCTTCTAATCTATTCTACTGATCCTCGGGTCTGTTTCTTTCCCAGTACCATGCTGTTTTTATTACAGTAGCTTTGTAGTATAGTTTCAAGTTGGGGATTGCAATACCCCCAGCCATGTCTCTGTTGCCCCCAGCCATGTCTCTATTGCCTAGAATTTCTTTTGCTATTCTAGGTTGATGTTTATTTATTTCAGGGGAATGTTTCTAATTACTGCCTCTCCCCCAAAAAAGTGGGATTTAAAGAAAAGTTCCATGTACAGGGTCAAGACAAGGCTACTGGGTTCAGAGATTCCTCTTATTTATAAATCTTCCCTCTTTTCTTTTTTATATCAGGGATCAAACTCAGGACCTTACACTTGCGAGGCAGGTGTCGGCACCACTGAGCTAAATTCCTGGCCCCCTCCATCCTCATTTTGTTTTTTTGCAGTACTGGGGATTGACCTCCGGGTTTTTTCCTTGAGCTACATCCCCTGGCCCCTCTTACTTTATTTTGACACAGGCTAAGTTGCCCAGGCCGGGCTTGAATTTAATTGCCCTCCTACCTTAGCCTCCCAGAGTGCTAGGATTCCAGATGTGTGCCCTCTTGCCCCACTTTTTCCTTTTTATTTTTTATTTATTTTATTTTTATGTTTTTTGATACTGGGGATCGAACTCCGGTCCTTGTGCTTGCGAGGCAAGCGGTGGAACCACTGAGCTAAATCCCCAGCCCTGTTTTTTCCTTTTTAAATTTTACTTTGTGAAAACCTCCAGGAGTCAGTAAGTTTGTTTAAGGTTGCTTTGAGTTTGTGATTGTCATGCCTCAGTCTCTTTAAATGTGTGGCATAGTGCTCGCTTCGGCAGCACATACACTAAAATGTCTGGGATGTCAAGCATCTACCACTATGCTGTTTGCTTAGTTTCTTTTTTTCTTTTGGTAGTGGGGATCAAACTTAGGACCTCATGCCAAAAAAACCCCCCTGATTTTTGTCCCCAAATTGTCTTTCCTTCTTTCTCTCTTTTTTCTTTTGTACCGGGCATCAAACTGGGGACCTTGTGCTTGGGAGGCAGGCAGTGGAACCACTGAGCTAAATCCCCGGCCCGCTTACTTTCTTTTCTTTTTTTTGGTACTGGGAATCGAACTTAGGACCTTGCGCTTAGCTTCCCGAGTGCTGGGATCACAGGCATGCGCCACCACAGGCTGTGTTGTGAACATGACGGAAGGTAGAAATTGCTTCACAGAGGAAGTGACTTGTGGACTGACTCTGAAAGTGATAACGTCCAGCTCACTGAGTGGGTGATGACATTGTAAAAAGCTACAGGATTTAGAAAGAATGGTTTGAGATGTGAGAACATATCCAGGATACATCACTGTAGCATACAAGTTAAGAGCATAAGCTCTGGTGTCCTCTACCACTTGATTCTAGCTAGTACATGGTAACTTTTAAATAATTACAGCCAAGGGCTGGGGATATAACTCCAAGCATGTGTGAGACCCTGGAGGTTAGGTTCCTAGCAACTGCTCCCACCTTTCAAGTGAACTATCGCTGACATTTGTTGATCACTTACCATGTATGAAGCAGATGCAGTGTGCGAAGCTGTACCATATATACTTCTTTTAACCAAATGTCACAAAATGGCATAGTACGCCATTACAGTCATGAAATTGATAATGGAGTAGTAAATTGTTGAAGATTACATAAATGGTGATGTCAGAGTTAGTACCCAGAGAGTTCATTCTTAGTTCCTGAACTCTGTTCTTCTCCCTGGATATTTGTGTTAAAGAATTAAAGTGGAGGGTCAGGGATTTAGATCAGTGGTTCTGTCACCTGCCTCGAAAGTGCAAGGGTCGAGTTTGATCCTGGTACCAAAAAAAAAAAAAAGAATTAAAGTGGAGGAAAATTCAAGTAGATGTTAAGTAAAATATATGGAGGATGAAGCCTAAGACTTTGTAAACATTAAACTGTTTGGAAATGGCTAGGAATAGGTTAAGCCAACACCATATTAGGCTTGGGTGTTTATAGAAAGAAATAATGGGGAAAGATTTTAGCAAGGAATTGTTAACAGAGTTATTTTATGACATTAAGGAAAGCAGCAGGCTCAAAGATCAGTTTTTCCAAGAAGGTTGACATTCAGACCAGAACAGTGTGGAAAGGATTTATCAGCTACCTAAGGGTCAGGAGAATGTTGTGGTAAGGTAGGGGGTGAGGAATTCTGATAAAGGGATTAAAGATAATGGTGGTCCAGCTATCCATGCAGTCCATGTTCCCAGCTGAAAACTCATAAGCCTGGTCTTTACCAGCTGCACTTCTGTCAGCCTCTGGTCCTCTGAGCTCTGACCAGAACATCCCATCAGGCTCAGCTCACAACATTCCAGGGCTGCTGCTTCAGCTGGCATCTCCAAAACATTGCAGACTTCCCACAAGCCAGTTCCAAAAGCTTCTGAGGCACGTGGCCACATGGCAACGACTCCACTTCTGCGGTACCAATATCTGTTTGGTTACTTTTCTCATTGCAGGAATAAAATACCCAACACCCACAAGTTAAAGGAGGAAAGGTTTGTAGGGTTTCAGTTCACAGTTTACGGAGGTTTCTTCCATAGTCTGCTGGCTCTAAGGCAGGGCAGGCTGGAGGCAGTGGGCCTTCCCTTCCTCCATTCAGGCTATAAGTCTGTTGGTTGGACACTCACACCCAGGGTGGATCTTTTGTCTTTAGTAAAGCCATGTAGCCACACCCAGAACTGTGCTAAACGGTGGGGGACTGATCCAGTTACCACACACCCATGGTCCAGCCACCTCCACAAGGCCCACCTATGCATGGAGGAGGCTTTAGGTGGGCATCTAGATATGAGCCGCTCTAACAGGTAAGTTACCTTTAATTGATACTGAAGGGTTTGAGATACCCTTTCCCTCACAGAATCACACAGACTAAGACATAATCTCTACTCTAGAACATTAATTTGGCCAGTCAGAAATTTTATTTGAATAAATCTCATCTGTTTCTTTTTTTGTCTTTTTTTTTTTTGGTAGCAGAGATTGAACTTGGGACCTTGCACTTTTGAGGTGGGCGGCGGAACCATTGAGCTTAAATCCCTGGCCTTTTTTTTTTTTTGTGGCACTGGGACTTGAATCCAGGGCCCTGTGCATGCTAGGCTAAATCCCCACCCTCTTGTCTGTTTAAATAATATATTTTATAGCTATCAGGATTTAAGTATTCAAGATGTTTTCCTTTGTCTAAGAGAACATAGATGTAGTTAAATTTTGAGCAAAAGACTTTCAAGCATATATAAAGTAGATGAAGTTTTTACCTAAAAGTATCTTTACCTTTGTCAGCTATTTTTCTTTTGGATAGGATATAAAATGTCTTTAAGATTTTATTTGTTTGTTTATTTTTTGTTATGGGGGATCAAACTCAGGACTTTGCTATTTCGAGCCAGGCGGCGGCACCGCAGAGCCAAATCCCTGACCCTATCTTAAGATTTTAAAGAAAACAGGGTACTTTGGGGAATTTATACTCCATTTTGATTGACACTAGATTCTTATACTTAAAAGAGAAACATTAACACATCTTGTGTGTTTTAACTTCCAAGTCCTTATAATTCATTTGCATTGAATTCTGGAATCAAATTTTCACCTGTTTAAGATAGGAGACAAACTTATGAATGATTTTCTTCTCTTTTAGGCGGAGATTTGATTTACAGAATCCATCCAGAATGGATCGTAACGTTGAAATGTTTATGAACATTGAAAAAACATTGGTGCAGGTAACTATGAAAGTTAGGTTATCATAGATTTTTTAAATGTACTTTCAGTTCTATCGTTGAATTGCAAAAGGTCAAAGAAAGAAGCATTTTTCTGAAATATGTTGTTTTATTATCTTTATGGATATTTGAGGGAGTATAGCTGATGAATGATCTTGTTTCTGGTGGAATAATCTATGATATCATTATTCCACCCTACCATTATTTGAGTCACCTTCGTTTTATTTAATATAAATGCTTTCTCATCCTGTGGTCACTTTACTGTGCAGTCATTTTCTTCCATAGTTGTGCCATACGTATAGATCTTACTTTGCTAACTAAATTATAACCTGGGATGAGAGAGTGCTTAATTGTTTTTGTTGTGTCTCCTAGTTTTTTGTTTTGCAGTACTGGGGCTCAAGTCTCAGGACATGCTCGGCAAGCATTCTAGCACTGAGCTACATTCTTAGCCTGCTTTCCTGATAGTTTTTATTGACTGGCAATTTATAGTGATCACTGAATTAAGTTTCTGGGGGAAAATACCTGGCAAAAATTAATTTATGACAGTCATCTGTCCACAGAGTGTTAGCTTTGGAAATAATTGGATGTGTTTTGTCGGTTGAATTTTGGTCATAATGTAAGGAGTTAATAAACATGTTTTACTGTTATTTCTATGATTAGAAATTAGAAGAATGAGCTGTAATTTCCTCCTAAGTCAAAGATGTTAACTGAATGTACAATGTAGATTCTTCTCTTTTGGTACAGGGGATTGAACTTGGGTCCTTCCGCTTGCAAGACAGGCGGCAGAACCACTGAGCTAAATCCCCAGCCCACAATGTAGATTCCTAAGGTAAATTTAGGTAAGGTTGACTGGGAGGACTAATCTGGCAGTATAGTTGGTACCTTAATGAAAAACTTGCTGAGTTTCTTTCAGTCATGATGCTTAACATTTCCTGCCCTGGTACTGTCAACAGCAGAGAATGATTTTAAGTGGCCTGCTAAACTACCTATGTTTTATTTTCACTTTCTATATCAGGTTGTATCTTCCCTGTTTAAGAACTATGAATTCGAATGCCAATTTCTGCTGTTAGGGGAAGGCATAATAATGTTATGTAATTTAAAAACCAGTAGAATTTCAAAGTCTACTCTTTATTCCTCAGAACAATTGTCTGACCAGACCCAACATCTACCTCATTCCAGACATTGATCTGAAGTTGGCTAACAAATTGAAAGATATCATCAAACGACATCAGGTAATAGACACAGTCACTGGAGAAACACTGCATTGCTAAGTCTGTAAGAAATGGCAGTCACAGTACCTTTGGATTTCTGTGTCTGCAGTTAAAGAAAGCTTCCTCTCTTTGGTTGCTTAGGGTACCTTTTTTTTTAACCTGGTTTTTAGCATAGAGTAGTGTTTAATAAAGGTGCTGGAATGCAGTTAAATTGTGGTCTTGTGACGTATGCTTGCATAGTTAAGGAGACCAATATATTCTCCATCATAGATCTAAATCACCAAGTCACAAGATAGTTGGTGACCCATTTATTGCTAGGAGGAGGTAAACTAAGTAAACACATCCCTCCCCTCATCCAATCATGTGTGCTCTATTTATGTTTTTTATTTTAATTTTTATGCTAATTTTTTTGGGTTGTTACCTGGGATCAAACCTGGGACTTTGTGCCTGGGAGGCAGGCGTCAGAACCACTGAGCTAAATCCCTGGCCTTAATTTTTAAATTATTATTGTGGGGGGGGGGCATCTGGGACCTTGAGCATGCTAGGCAAGTGCTCTATCGTTAAGCTACATCTCCAGCCCATTTATTTGGTGGTTTTTATTTTTCAGACATAATCTTGGCTATGTTGCAAAGGCTTGCATTGACTTTGCAATATTTCGCTGTTAATTTCCTAAATAACTAGGATTATAGGCATGCACTACCACACTGGGTTGCAAAGCAGAATTTTTTTCAGTCATTTTTAAAGAAACATATATATAGCTGAGCATGGTAGCGTATGCTTGTTATCCCAGTACTCAGGAGGCTGAGGCAGGAGGATTGCCACGAGTTCACGGCCAGCCTGGGCTACATGTCTCAGAATGAAAGAGAGAGAGGAGAGACAGACAAACATATATAAAGCCGGGTATGATGGCATGCCGCTGTAATCCCAGCAGTCTGAGAGGCCGAGGCAGGAGGATTGCAAGTTTGAGGCCAACCTGGGCAATTTAAAGACTCTGTCTCAAAATGAAAAAGGACTGGGGATGTAGCTCAGTGTGAAAGCCCTGCGTTTAATCCTCGGTAATGTAAATATGTAATAAAAATTAAAATCTTTCTTCATAAGCTTATGTTGTTTTGATTCATTTAGAGCTGTCTTCTAGTATTTTAACTTCCTTCCTCTAACTTTGTTTTAGGGTGAGATGTTTATTGCACATATGTCTTACGATTAATGACATATGACTAAACTAATAAAACTCAATATGGGGCAGGTGATTTGGCTCAGCGGCACTGCACCTGCCTTGCAAGTGCAAGGTCCTGAGTTTGATCCCCAGTACCACCCCCCCCCCAAAAAAAACCCCACCAACTCAATATGGTAAGCTAGTAGAGAACGGTTTAGGTAAAGGTAATTTTTTTTTTTTTTTTTTTGGAGACAGGTTCTCACTGTGTAGCCCAGGCTGGCCTTGAACGTGTGGCAATCCTCCTACCTCAGCCTCCTGAGTACTAGGATTACAAGCGTGTGCCACCATGCTTGGCTCTAGAAGATAATTTCTTTCCTTTTTTTTTTTTGGTACTGGGGATCAAACTCGGTACCTTGAGCTTACAAGGCAGGTGCCAGAACCACTGAGCTAAATCCCCGGCCCTAGAAGATCATTTCTTGAAAGATCATTTCTGTGACCTAGGTCTTCTGATTCCTAAGATTGGTTGAGAAATCTCATGAAATAGATTTATTTTTTCCTGCTGCACAAGACATTGCTGGTTGAAATGTTGTAGCATTCAGTAAATATCTTGCAGATTCTGAAAGCACAAGTTTTAAAGATAACAATTATAGATCTTGTATTACGTTTGTCTTAAATTTGACATCCCTGCCAACAGCGCAGATGGGTAGTATAATAATGCTGTACGATGGGGCAGTGTGAAGGCCATTTCATCTTTGGCTAGCATTAATGACTTTTAATAGATCACTTAACCTTTTTTCTTTTGGAGCGCTTCTTTATTAGAGTGACTCAGGTATTATAGCTTCATTAAAAGTGTTGCTTAGAGGGCAGAAATGGCTTCAAGCTGAAGTTACTTATTGCTACCAAATCATGCTTGAAAGAGTTTATAAGCTTTTATACAATTAAGGTAAATATTTAACTATACTGTTTCTTTTTCTTTTCCTTTTTTTTTGAGACAGGGTCTCTCTCTGTGGCTCAGGCTGTCCTTGAGCTTACTATGTAGCCCAGGCTGGCCTCAAGCTCATGGTGATCCTCCTGCCTCAGTCTCCTGAGTGCTGGGATTACAGGTGTGTGCCAACACACCCAGCTTGTGCTATTTCCTAAGAAATATGATTTAATGATTATTTGCTAGGGATACTCTAAACAGGAATATAAGAGTCTGGCTGGTCCATAGAATCTTTTTTTGTTTTGGCAGTGCTGGGGATTGAACCCAGTGCCTTGCAGATGTCAGGCTGTTCCCGAGTTTCGTGCCTCATCCATAGACTCTTAGGGAAGAGACCTCAGGAGCTAATAATAGTAGTGCTGTTATTGAATACCAGTGATGGGGCTTACTTGAGCATTTGAAGTGCATTAACAGCTCACACAGATTTGAGTGCTTACATTGTGCCTGTCCCTAGCCTTAGTTCATTGCATCTCTTAACTCATTTCTGAGAAATTTGTTAGGATACAGGTATTATTGTTACCATTCCATTTCACAAAAGGCACTGATGCATTAAAAAAAAAAATTGTTCCATGGCACACAAATAATAAATGACTGTGATTCCAACCCAGGACTGTGATGGCCACCACAGTCCGAGACCCTTTATGTTTGTCCTTTGCTTTGTACTCATGGAATATTGACTTTCCTTTCCCATCTCTCGTGACTGTTCAGAAATGTACTTGGACATTGCAGTGATTGAGAATTCCTTATCTTACGAGGTAGCCAACTCTCAGTAGATCTAAATTTTTAAAGTTTTTATTCCCCCCAGTTGAAGCATAAGTATGTTTGTATAATTATAATGATTAGTAAATACTCTGTCAAAGAAAAAAACTCTGAATGCATTTAGATATTACTTAAAACTGATTGTAAGACTTTCTATCATTTTGGGGGTTGTTTTTGGTGCTTTTTTTTTTTTTTGGTTTCGGGGATTGAACTCAGGACTTTATGCTTTCGAAGCAGGTGGCGGAACCACTGAGCTAAATCCCTGGCCCTCTATCATTTTGTTTGAGACAAGGTCTTGCTATGTGGGCTAGGCTGAACTGTATGTCATGATCCTCCTGTCTCAGCCTGCCTGCTGAATTACCATCATTCTTTTTCTTTTTTTTTTAAATTGCTAATTTTTAAATTAATTTTATTGATACATTTTATGTATACAATATAATGACATTCATCATTGGGATCTTGTACCTTTACAGGATCTATCTTCGTCCTTATTTTTTCCCCATTCCCCTGCCCTCCCTTCAACCCTTCCACCCCCTCCCTATTTACAAAGACTTTGTTTCTATTTTTTCCTTTTCTTATATTAATTCCATTCCCTTTTTTCCTTTCCCCTACCTCTCCCACTTCCCCTTCCCCTTTGTACCTTTTCTTCCTATTTCACATTATCTATTATGCCTTTTGATCCTTATTTTACACTTTCAGTTTCTTACACCAGTGAAACTGGCCGGTATTTACACATGTGAATGAGAATTATTCTTGTGATCTATAGGATGAACACTTTTTGGTCTAGATTGTTTTCAAGTCATGTTGTAGACTATATGTAGTATTCGAGTTGTGGTCTAGCTGTGACTCACTTCAGTTTATCAATCAATACTACCAACATTGGCTTAGAACTACAATAGCTGCATTTGTATTTGTGTTGTTTCACATGTCCCATCCTGTATCTGTATAGCCCAAGCTTCCGGCTCAATGCCATAAACCTGCATGGATTCATTTCAGTTAGTGATAGTTTGTGCTGGTCTTTGAGCAATTTTAAGAATTACTTTTTTGGGGTTTTTTTGGTACTGAGGATCGAACTGAGGTCCTTGTGCTTGCGCAGCAGACGGCGAAACCACTGAGCTAAATCCCCAGCCCTTAAGAATTAGTTTTATAGGGGCTCCACTGCCTGCCTCGTAAGCGCAAGGACCCGAGTTTGATCCCCTGGTACCATAAAAAACAAACAAACAAAAAACTAGTTTTAAAATACAGTACCCAAATTACTTTTGAGAAATAAACAGAGAATTAGCTAAGAGGTAAAGGCAGAACATCTTTAATTTAAAACTCTGAAATTAAGGGCTGGGGATTTAGCTCAGTGGTTCCGGTGCCTGCCTCGCAAGCGCAAGGTCCCAAGTTTGATACCCGGTACCGAAAAAAAAAACAACACACACAACTATTAATTTTGGCCGGGGATTAGCCTGCTGCGCAAGCGCAAGGACCTGAGTTCGATCCCCGGTACCGGAAAAAAAAAAACAATTCTGAAATTAGAGTGTCAGAGAGTTTCAGATTGTGGGATATTTTAGATTTTTGGATTAGGAATGCCCCGTGGGTACAGTCAATGTAAATAGTCCAAAATCTGAAAAACTCAGAAACTGAAACACTTTGGTCCCAAGCATTTTGCTTAAGGGAGACTCAGCTTATATCTCTAGACTGTATTTTTAGTCATTGTTAATTATTTCTTTTCTCTTTCTTTATCTCTCTCTCTCTGTTTGGGGAGGGGGTTCTTTTCTTTGGAGACAAGGTCTCACTATGTAGTTCAGGCTGGCCTTGAAGTCACTGTGTAGCCCAGGGTAGCCTTGAACTTGCGGCGATCCTCCTGCCTCAGCCTCCCAAGTGCTGGGATTACAGGTGTTTGCCACTATGCCTGGCCAGACATCCTTTCTCTTGACTAAAACTAATAAATATAGTCTTAAAATATGAATCAAATAATGTTTTTATAATTCTTATGGAATTTGTCGCTAACATCTCAAGTTTCTCGCCATGTGCTTTATTTTTATGTTATTTGTTCGTTTATTTTTCAGGGGACGTTTACTGATGAGAAGTCGAAAGCTTCCCACCATATTTATCCATATCCTTCCTCACAAGAGGATGGTAAGTTAGCTTTGCTTGTGAACTGGTAAAACTCATGCACTGTATCACAGGGCCTTTGTATCATATCAGAAGAGGTTAACACAATATACCCAGCTTTTATTTTATTTTTTAATTTTACATATAGTTATTGGGAGACTGGATCTCTCTATGTAGTTCAGGCTGGGTACATTTTCCTGCCTCAGTCTCTGAGTGCTGGAATTATAGGCATGTACCATCATGCCCAACTTTTTTTATTAAAAAGTTTTTTTTTTTTCAAATATAGCCAGCTTTTAAAAAAAATGTTGTTGTTTTTTTTTTCCTCCTTTTTTTTTTTTTTTTTTTTTTAGTACTGGGGAATCAAACTCAGGTCCTTGTGCTTGCAAGGCAGGCAGCAGAACCACTGAGCTAAATCCCCAGTCCTCCTCCTGTTATTTGTTTTTGTTTTTTTCAGACAAGATCTCACTCTCTATGTAGTTCAGACCAGCCTTGAACTTAATATGTAGCCCAGGCTGGCCTCAAATTTGCAGCGATCCTCCTGCTTTAATCTTTCAAATGTGGGATTACAGGTGTGCACTACCATGCCCAGCCCTAAAAAGTTACTTTTAATCACAAGGGGAGGCTGAGGCAAGAGAATCAACCATTCACCATTCAAGGCCAGCTGGGGCAATTTAGTAAAACCCTGTCTCAAAAAAAAAAGCAAGATACCTAGAGTTGACAAGTTGCTGCTTTAGTTTGCAGTGCTTTTTGGAGAGACAATAAATTAGAGGTGAATGCCCCCAAAGGGCATTAACAGCCCTCCCTCCAAAAGTCCTTAAAAAAACAAAGCAAAGCAAAGCAGAACAAAAGGCCTGGGGATATAGCTTAATTAGAAGGCCCTGTGTTTATACCCAGTTTTGGTTGGTGGAAAAGTGACTTTTAAGTATCAAAATATTCCCAGTGCTGAGATTACAGGGGTGAGCCAGCACCCTGAGTTTAACTGTTGTTCGTTTGTTTGGGTTTTTTTGGTACCAGGGATCGAACTTGGATCCTTGCGCTTTTGAGGCAGGCGGTGGAACCACTGAGCTAAATCCCCGGCCCCTCGTTTGTTTGTTTTGATACCAGAGATGGAACACAGGACCTTGCACTTGCCTTGAGAGGCAGGCACGGCCCCACTGAGATAAATCCCCGCCCCTTTTTTGGGGGGGGGGGTTGGTACCGGGGATCGAACTCGGGATGTTGCGCTTGCGAGGCAGGCGCTGGAACCACTGAGCTAAATCCCCGGCCCTCCAGTTTTTTTTTTGAGACAAGCTCTTGCTGTGCAGTTCAGGGTGGTTTTGAAGGCACTATGTGGCTGGCCTTGAGTCCACGGCAGTCCTGCTGCTGAGGACTTGGTGCTAATTACTCTTCACAGGAGTGAGTTGGAATACATAGCATAAATTAATTTAGACTGAAAAGTAGATCTACAAGGGTGCAAGAATTCAGTCTTCTGGCAAGTGCATTATCCCTGCAGGATATGAGAAGCCAGATTATATCAGATTAAGTGACCAATAACCCCTATGGGCATTTTTTTGTTGACCGTTGTAATTATGCTGCACATACACTTGAAAATTAAGAAACACTGTATATTGTTAACCCATGGGTTAAAAAAGAAATTAGAAGGAAAATAGGAAATCTTTGAGACTGAATAATAATAAAAATGAATAATGCAGTATAACATTAAATTTTGTAAGGTACAGTGAAGCTCTGCCTAGAGGGACATTTATATGCATTTGGTAGAAATGAAAAAGGGCTGAACGAACAATCAGTGTCCTAAACACTTTGTCAAGCAGTTAGAAAAAGAATAGCAAATTAGTTGTAAAGAAAGAAATATACATTATAAAGAAAACAGAAATTATTGAATTAGAAAATACATGAAAATGAGATGCTCAGCAGTGTGAAATTGTTCTTAGAGAAGACCAGTAAGGTCAGAGGAGAGGGAAATGCAAGAACCAAGAATGAATGAAGGGAACACAGTAGATGTGTGTGCAGGCATGAAAAAAGTGATCTTGAAAGGAGGCCAGAGTGTGTATTTGTAGCAAGTTTAATAAATTCCCTGACCCTCGTATTGTAAAGTGAGACACTTCACGCTGTGTGTAGTAGTCATAGTTAATTGATGTTTTCACCATTCTTCCTGCTAGGTATTAGCAGCTGGTTTCCACTAGATGGAGGTGGTAGGCAGCTGTGCGTGTTAGAATACTTGATTTGTTGTTCACTTTATGTCTCCCAAATAGTAGAAAACTTCAGCGTTAGGATTAGGAACCTTTGGTGTTTGGCTTGCTGATGCCTGAACTGAGGGCCCTTGCATGGATTCAACCACTGACCCATACCCCTTGTCCTGTGTTGTGAACTTTTCTTTCTGTTCTGTTTTGTTGACAGTCTTTCTCAGGCTGCTCAAACTTGTAATCCCCCTGCCTCAGCCTCCTGAGTACCTGGGGTTGGAGGCCTGGAGTTCTTCATTCTATTAGTGTGGTACATTAATTGGTTTTCATATATTGAGACAGCCTTGTCTCTAGGTATAAATCCCATGGTGTGTGGGATTGGTTTATTTCCTTATTTGAAAATTTTTTTTGAGACAAGGTCTTGCCATGCTACTTCAAATTGTTCTTTTTTTTTTTGTACCAGAGATCGAACTCGGGACCTTGCACTTGCAAGGCAGGCAGTAGAACCACTGAGCTAAATCCCTGGCCATGCTCAGATTGTTCTTGACCTTATGTGCTCAAGCACATAATTCTCCAGCTTCAGCCTCCTGCATGCTGAGGCTGCAGGTGCCTATTACCAGTCCTGGCTGGATAATCCTTTTTTTTTGTTGTTGTTACCAGGAATTGAACTCAGGGCCTCGAGCTTGCCAGGCAGGTAGACAGGCAGGCACTGTGCTGCGAGCTACATTCCAGGCCCTCGATAATCTACTTAATATATTGTTGAATTCATTTTGTTAGTATTTAATGTATCAGGAGTACATATTTTCATCTGTATTTTTCTTGTAATATCTTTAGTTTTGGGCTCTCAGGAAGGAGTTTGTTAATACCTTCTCCTCGTCAATTTTTAGAAGAGTTTGAGAAGGATTTTTAATTTCTTTTTTATATGCTTAGTACAATTCTCCAGGGAAGCCATTTGACTTTGTGCTTTGCTTTATTGGAAATTTTTAAAGTGACTGGTTGAGTCCCCATACTAGTTATGGGTATATGCATATTTTCTTCATGATCCCAGTCTGGGAAGGTTGTATCGTTCTAGAAATTTATTCATTCTAGGTTATTCTTTTTAAAATTTTTGTCATGGAACTAATTATAAAAAGTTCTCATGATCCTTCTTGTTTGTTTCCTTTTTCTTTTTCCTTTCAGTACTGGGAATTGACCCTAGAGCCTTGTGTATGCCAGGCGAGCTGTGTGTTGCTAAGTTGCATCCGAAGACCTTTTTCTGATATAGCCTCAGTAGTTTGCCCAGGCTGGCCTCAAGCTTGGGGTCATTGCCCCTGCCTCTTGTGTAGCTGGAATTATAGGCATGTACCACTATGCCTGGCGGATCCTTTTTCTGTGGCTTTAATTGTAATTTCTCCTCTTTAATTTCTGATTTTTGTTATTTTCATCATCTCTTCTTTTAATCTTTGTAGCTAAGTAAGGGCTTGTGAATTTTGTTGATTGTTTTCTTTTGTTTTTTATTGTTTATTTCTGCTCTAATTTTCATTATTTCTTTCCTTATGGTAAGTTGGGCTCAATTTGTTTTTCTTTTTCTGGCCCTTTAAGATGTTGATTTGAGGGCCAGGGATTTAGCTCAGTGGTTCCGCGCCCCTCTCTCAAGCGCAAGGTCCTGAGTTGGATCCCCGGTACCAAAAAAAAAAAAAAAAAGTCTATCAAGATGTTGATTTGAGGGCTGGGGATTTAGCTCAGTGGTTTGAGTGCCTGCTGCGCAAGCACAAGGTCCCAAGTTCATCCCTGGTACCAAAAAAAAAAAGATGTTGAGTTGAGATCTGCGTTTTCTTTTCTAGTGTATTTACTGCTGTTAAACTTCCCTTCTAATACTCCTTTTCCTGTATTCCATAATTTTTTTTGTTTTCATTTGACTCAAGATTTTTTCTAATTTCCTTTGTGGTTTTAGCTTTGATCTGTTTGTTCTTCAAGAGTGTCTTTTAGTTATTTTTTTCCTTTTTTTCCAGAGTGTCTTTATTTCCACCTATTTGTCAATTGTCCAGTTTTCCTTTTGCTGTTGATTTCTGATGTCATTCCATTATTGTCAGAAAACACAGTTGGCAGGATTTTAAACCTTCTTGTATTTAGTAAGAGTTGTTTTGTGTCCTAATAGGAAATCTATCCTGGATTAGGTTTTAGATGTGCTTATTGGAAGACGTGTGTTCAGGTGTGATTGTTGTGTGTTTTGTACCTGGCTGTCTGGTCATCTGTGGTGTTGGTGTGTCCTGTGTTCCTGCTTTCTGTGTGATTGGTCTTTCTGCTGCTGATGGTGGATATTGAGATTTCCTGCTATTATGTTCCTGTCTTTTTTTCACCCTTTGTTATTGCTTTCTGTTTCGGGGTGCTCTGCTCCTTTAGGAGCACTTATGTTTATAATTATTGTAATTTCCTGGTAATTGACCCTTTTATTATATTTGGAACTTGGACCCTTTTGGCATTTTTAACTTAGTGGCATTGTTAGTAAAGCTACCTTGTGCTCTTTGGGTCATTGTTTGGGTGGAATAGCTTTTTCTGTCCTTTACCTTTCTTGGTCCACAGTGAATCTTTTATAGATAGCATATATTTAGAACTTGGTTTTTGTGGTTGTCTTTTGAGAGAGAGTTTCGCTGTGTAGGTCAGGCTGACCTTAAACTCACTATATACTCTATGCGATCCTCTTGCTTCAGCTTCCTGAGTGCTGGGGTTACAGGCAGGGGCCACCACATCCACTGAGTTACATTCCTGGCTTTTTTTTTTAAAACAAGGTTTCACTTTATAGTTCAGGCTGTTCAGATAGCTGGTGTCTTTTGACTGGTAGTTTTAATCTACTTACATTTAAAGTAAGAGAACGATTTAATATTGCCTTTTAAAAAGCTTATTTCTCTCACAGTTATTTTACCCTTCTTTTGCTCTCTTGCTACGTTTTTATTTTTTTCCTTTGAACGTATGACATGGTTTGATTCTTTTTTTTCTGATACCAGGGATCGAACTCAGGACCTTGCACTTGAGAGGCAGGCATGGTGCCACTGAGCTAAATCCCCGGCATTGGTTTAATTCTTTGAGTTTCTGGTGTTTTTGGGTTTTTGATTTGCATTCTCTTTTTTATTAATGATGGTAAGTTACTGTGCTTTTTGGCTATTTGTATTTTAAATTATTTGCTCATTTTTTTGGGTACTGGGGATCAAACTCAGGTCCTTGTGCTTGTGCAGCAAGCGGCGAAACCACTGAGCTAAATCCCCAGCCTATTTGCTCATTTTTAAAAGGTGGATTATTTGCCTTTGAATTCTTTTTGTTTGTTTTTTGTTTTTTGGTACTGGGGATTGAACTCAGGTCCTTGCGCTTGTGCAGCAGGCGGCAAAACCACTGAGCTAAATCCCCGGCCCCTGCCTTTGAATTCTTGAATTCTAAATGTTATTTTTATATTTCAAATTTGGAACAATTTGAACATAGGAAATTGTGTTTTGAAGAAATTTGTTCTGAGTAGCATACCGTCATTTTTTGGGTTCTCATTGTGTTTTCTTAAGTATTCTTGTCAAGCGTCCATTCGTCACACCCAATTACAATGATTATATATTGGTTTTTTGTTTTTTTTTTTCTTTTTGGTACTGGGGATTGAACTTAGGTCTTTGCATTGAGCTACATCCCTAGTCCCCCCCCCCCTTTTTTTTTTTGATACTGGGGATCGAATTCGGGACCTTGTGCTTGCGAGGCAGGCAGAGGAACTACTGAGCTAAATCCCTGCTGGGGGGGGGGGCATTTTATTTTTACTTTTTATGTTGCTATAGTCTTTCAAGTTGCCCAGGCTGGGCTTGAAATCCAGCCCTCCTGCCTCATCCTCCCAGAGTACTGGGATTACAGGCATGTCTCATTGTGCCCGATTGATTTTATATTTTTAATATGTGTAGTTTTTTTTTTTTGTACTGGGGATTGAACTCGCATCCTTGCGATTGTGCAGCAGGTGACGATGTGTAGTCTGATATTACAGCATTTGTAAGCCTTTGGAGAAATTGCCCCTCTGAGGAGTAAGTAGCTTATTCTTTTTTTTTTTTTTTGGTACTGGGGATTGAATTTGGGTCCTTGCGCTTGCGCAGCAGGCGGTGAAACCACTGAGCTAAATCCCCGGCCCAGTAGCTTATTCTTAAAAATAAGAGAACACCTTTTTTTTTTTTTGGTGGTACTGGGGATTGAACTCAGGTCCTTGCGCTTGCGAGGCAGGCAGCAGAACCACTGAACTAAATCCCCGGCCCCTGGGTATAAATTTTTAACATGGCAGGAATGTAAACATACATATCTTACACCTTTAGTTATTTCTGCTGTTGAGATATCTTTCAGAGACAATAACTGCCAACGTTTCTTTCTAGAAAAGTCAGGTAGGCTGAAGATGGATATCCTTTTTTCTTACTACAGACACATAATCTTTGCAGGTGGGTTCACTAGGAACCTCTTACTAGTTAGGAGAGCCAAGATAGTTTGACAGGACAGATATGTTAGTCTGCTTCCTGTCACTGTACCAAATCACCTGATATCATGAACTCTTAAGAAAAAGGCAAGGTGTATTTTGCCTGAGTCTTACTGATTGCGTGTGGTCCTCAGTTGGCTCCATGCTTGTGTCCTGTGGCAAGGCAGCACATGATGTTGGGCTGCCTATGTGGCGGTGGCTGGGAAGCAAAGAGAGGAGGAGAGAGGTCTCAGCATCCCCTTCAAAGTCAGATTCCAGTGACTCGGAGAGTGCTACCTAGCCCTGCCCCACCCCGCCCTGCCCCTTTCAGCTTCTGCAGGTTGTGCAGCAAACTTTCCTACATGCGCCTTTGGGGGTTACTTCTCCCAACCATAGCAGTAGGTTATTCACGTGGAGTGGATTTAGAAAGGAAGGTCCACTTCCCGCTTCTCTTTTTTCAGACCTTGGCCACAGTAGGGTGTTAGTTAAGGTCCAGGCCCAATTCTTTCCTTGTTTTTTCTTTCAAGACAGCAGGACATCCAGGTGGATGGTTCAGGTTGTGCACAGGCAACACCTGCATGCCTTCCTGGGTTTTGTCTGTGAAGCTAGGGCCATTTCTCATTGAAAGTGGCATTAAAGAATCAATTTTACTTAGCTGATTTACTTCTTTGCTGTTGGCTTTCAAGACGCCTTTACCCAAACTTCCCTCTTTCTACTGGAAACAAGTTTTCAAATAAATTTAGACTACCAAAGAGGTACATGGCAACAGTGCTGAAATGTAGAATTCATTCAACTGATTAAAATCATTAAGAATCATTATATAATTTGCATCTATCTTTGAATGAGAACCTGAGAGAAAAGTATCTACAGTGGGATCCCAGTGGTTGCAATCCTAGGGATGGAACCCAGGGCCTTGTGAGCACTTGGCAAGTGCTCTCCCGCTGAGTCCGTATCCCCCCGCCCCCCACCTTGGTGTAGCACTATAGATACAGGAGAAAGTGAATATGGAGGAAACGGAGTGTTTAGAAAAGCATTCTAGCCAAGGAGATGAGGCATAACCTCCTTCCTGAAGCATGTGGCTTATGCAGATTTTCAGAAAGGGATGAGAGGACCTATACTGACACTGAAACAGTTAAGAATGTGGTGACAGTGACTTGATAGGAAAGAGGACAGCAGGTAACAGGGAGGAGGCTGATTCACTGCAGTGCAGAGCTGGTTCTGTCAAGATTGTGGACCTGGAGTCTAAAAAGCCTCACTGTGTAAGCTGAGAAATTTTTTGGTCTGGTAGGTGGTCTTCAGTTTAAATTGTTTTCATCATTAGCAAAGCAAAAAGTTGCAGTAAAAATTAAGGCTAAATCATACTCCCTTATTTCGTCAGTTTGACTGATGTGTGTGTTTTTTTCCTCTTTCAGAAGAATGGTTGAGGCCAGTGATGAGAAAAGAGAAGCAGGTGTTAGTACACTGGGGCTTTTACCCCGACAGGTAACTTTAAAAGATACTAATTATTATTTTAATTGTATACATTTATAGGGTACAGTGAAATATTTCAACACATATGTACAGTGTATTAATGGTCAAATTGGGGGTGTGTGTGTGTGTGTTTGTGTGTGTGTGTGGTCAAACCCAAGGCCTTACACATGCTGAACAAGTGCTTTACCAATGAACAACACCCCTAGGCCCCCAAAATCAGGATATTTCCGTATCCTTAAACATTAAAAATGTTAATCACATGTAAGGCTGTACCTGCACTGATGAGATCAGGGTGATTCATGCTCCATCTCCACATCTTTTCTTCATGTTTGGCACCTTTGACCTCTCTTCATGCAGGTAATGCTGATACACGTGCCCTGAGGTCTGAACAAGGCAGATTTACATGGGTGGAATTTTATTTTCTGATTAGTAGTACTTTTGGTGATTTGTACTAGTCTCACTTTATTGAGTCTTGTATTGACTTTTTAAAGTTTTTCAGAAATAATTCTTGACTGTTGACTAATTATTTTAATAGTTTAGTAAAATAACATGTTTTTATCTCAGAAAAACTGATCTTTTTATTTATTTGCCCAAAGTCATGTAATTTGCATTTGATCTTAGCCAAAAGGCTGAGAAGCGATCCAAAGTCATGTAATTTGAGAATACAGATTTGTTTCCTTTAAGAAAGGAATTTTTGGGGGCCGGGGATTTAGCTCAGTGCTTCCAGCGCCTGCCTCGCAAATGCAAGGTCCAGAGTTCAATCCCCCGTACCAAAAAAAAGAAAAGAAATGAATTTTTCATTGGTAGTGGGGCCACACCACGTCTAATCCCAGCAATCAGGAGGCTGAGGCAGGAGGTTCACCACAAGTTCAAGGCTAGCCTGGACTATGTAGTGAGACCTTGTCTCAAGAAAACAAAAACATAAAACAAAAGAAATGAATTATTCTTCTGTATATGTTTATTACTAGTTGGTTTTCTTCCCCCCCAAACTGTGCATGCCAAATTATAAGGCTGAAGATACTTTATGTCTACAGGTTTTTCTTGTCAGAAATCTTACCCCATGGAGGTGTCACCTTTCTGTGTTCTAACTCAAAGCATGTTTCCGTGCCTGTGGTATGAATAGAGAATATTATCAGTGTGAACTTAAGGTTAGCTGTGGTGGCGGTCCTAGTTCAGTATCATGCCTACCTAGGTTCATGATAATAGCAACAGCGTCTACAGAACTCATTTTCTTCAACTTGCAGGAGAGCTGCTTTGACATTCATTTCGTTCTGTTCATCCCAAGTAGAGATCCTCCTCATGGTGTGTTTTCCAGTTCTGTTTGGGCTTTTCATGCCTCTATCCACATCTGATTCTCTGCTTCCTGTGTTATTCAAAGCAAATCTCAAGTGTGTCATTTTAATCATAAATATTTCAGTATATATTTCCAAAAGACTCAGTTTATAAAAAGAATAATATCATTGGAAATTCTAAGCAAAAAGAATTGTTAATGTGAAATACCTGTTCAGTGTTTTCGTGTAAATGATAAATTTGATTATTGATATTTATTTGAATTAGAAATCAGATGAAATTCACATGTTCTGATTAACTGGTATATTTAATTACTTTGGTTCATAAGTTATCCCTCTTTCATCCTGACCTGTCTTTGCATTGTACCTTTTTGGTGTTTTTGAAACAGGGTCTCACTATGTAGCTCAGGCTTGCCTTGAACTTGTGATCCTCCTGCCTCCCCTATTGAAATGTAATCCTGGCACAACTAAAAAGCTCCTTTAATATTATACAGGCTATCATAGGAAAGTAGTTTACCCTTTGAATCACTTAGATGGAAACTCAGATTTGATGATAACAAGCTATCTAAGTGTGGGGCTGATACAATTTTATAACACATTGTAAGACATACTAGCCCATTTCCTAACCTTCCCTGTGTATCAAATAGAATGTTTTTTGTTTTTCTGTTTTTGGGGGCCGGGTACTGGGGATCAAACCTCGGGACCTTGAGCTTGTGAGGTAGGCGGTACAGCCATGAGCTAAATCCCAGGCCCTCAAATAGGGTGTTGTACATGCTCAAGTCCTATCTTCTCAAAGGGTCTTGTTCACTTTTCTAAAATTTTAAATTATGCATGGCCTGTTCTCTGACATCTGTACCTATACTATATTTTCTAATCAAGACTTTTGAAGAATACAAGGTTATCTTTTTTTTTCTCAATGCGGTAATCTTTACTTGATATTTGATTTGGGGGAAGGATATCGGGAATCGAATTCAGGTCCTTATGCTTGCCAGGCAGGCACTGCACCACTGAGCTCGTTCAGTATCGTAGGGTCGGGGGTTTAGCTTAGTGGTTCCCCCACTTGCCTTGAAACCGCAAGGTCCCGAGTTCAATCCCCTGGTACCAAACAAACAGTAATCGTGCCTACGTAGTGTCATGCTAGATTCTAAGATAGGCTCACATTGAACTCACTATGTAGCCCAGGTTGGCCTTGAACTCCAGGTAATCCTCCTGCTTCAGCCTCCTCAGTGCTGGGATTTCAGGTATGTGCCACCATGCCCGGTTACTTGGTATACTTAATTAGCAGAGCACTTTTTCTGATCTGATGTTTATAAGTGTTTCTAGAAAAATTAATGAGAATAAAAGATAGACTGATTCCAAATGCTTTTGAACTGACTTGTAAATAATGCTTATAAGGAAGCTAATATTTGATTTAGATGTCACTTGGTTTTATAATTTACTGGCCATTATAATAGCATTAACTAAAGTTTAATTTGGTTGCTAACTTTTTATTTACTTCAGAGATGGTGCTGGAATGGGTGTAGTGATTTCTGTCAGTGTGTTTGAGTGCACTGGTCAGGGGATCTTTGAGCAGGGTGATTTGAGGAGCAAGCTGTATGAATATAGTGACATGAGGGGCCTTCCAGTAAACAGGAAGTCACCTGCTTTAAAGTATGTGAATGCCCAGTGGCACATGTTGAAGATGCCACTAGGGCCTGTGTGGCACAAATATGAGTGAGGACCGAGAAGAGTTGACAAGGAAATGGCATTACAGTGGCAGCAGCAGGACCTGATCTTGAGGCCTTGGCAAGCCACCATTAGGATTTTGATTTTCATTTTGACTTTGTCAGAACCCTTGAAGGACTTTGAGTAGATTTGGAGTTTTGGAATGATGTGGACTGACTTCATTTTCAAAAAGTCATTCTGGTTGGTTGTATGGCAAACTGACTCTTTGGAAAGTAGTGCAAAAGTAGGAAGATCAGTGACCAGAAGGGAAGGGTTGAAAGAAGGGTGTTATGGTTTGTGTCTAGATGTCCCCCCAGAGCCTTATGTGGTCACAGGGCTTTTTCAGAGCTGGCTGAATCTACATTGTGTGGTGCTGGGATTCAGGGCGTGTGATTACTAAACCAGCCACTGATCAGTTTGGCATCACCCTAATCCCTGTAGTCTGGATAAGATAAAAGGGACAGAAAGATGCTGTTAAGATTCTCTTGTTGCTTTTGCTACTGTGTAGGGGCCATGAACTGTTTCTCCTCTGCAGTGCCCCTCTGCCATGTGCCACTCTGCCTTGGAGCCAGCCAGTTATGGACTGAAACCTTTACAAACTGAGCTAATAAATAAACTCTTTCCCTTTTAACTGTGGGTATTGGGTATTTTGTCCCAGCAGTGAGAGAAAAGTAAGGCAGAGGTAGAATGTGATATGATCAAAGTGAGTTACTTACATGCATGTATGAAAATGTCACAGTGAAACCTCCATTGGTAGTTTTTTTTGTTTTGTTTTTGGGATACAGTACCTGATAACCACAGTTTAAAGAGAGCGTTTAATATGGCTCACAGTTTCAGGGGATTCAGTCCATGGCTGACGGGCTTTGAAGGGGGAACAACATACCCAGAGGATGTGGAGGAGCAAAGCTGCTCACCTGATGGTGGCTGGAAGCAGAGCACAGGGGAAGAACACCAGTGAGAGAGACTGCCTCTGAAGGCACAGGTGACCCACCTCCATCTGGGCCCTCCCTCCTGCCAGCACATTCAGCTGCGACATCTGTGGATTCATCCACTGATGAGCATCACATCCCCATGTCCCAGGGACCTTTCCAGGAGCCTCTTGATCCCATCATGTTTATGATTAAATTTAATATCACAAAGCCCAATTATAAAAAGTGGAAAAAATTAATGATTACAAAAGGAGGCAGAATTCTGGACATGTTTTGAAGGTAGAACTTAACTTTTAACAAATCTGTTGTTGATTTGATTATAGGATGTGCTTGGGAGTAAAGTCAGTGATGTTCCCAAGGGCGTTGGCTTGAACAGCTGCAAAGGTGGACTTGGCATTTACAGAGATGATGTTGGTTGCTAGAGTACATTGTGGAGCTAGGGTGGTGTCACAGTTGAGCTTTGAGTGTGTTAGGTTTGGCTCCCCTGTGATGCTGATACAGCAAAGAAATGTGGGGCTGGCTATTGGATTTATGCCTTGGGAATGCAGAGAAGAGGGCCGATACATGATTTTAAGTCATCACGTAGGTGTGAAGTCATAGGACTGAATGAAGTCACAGAGAAGAGTTTTGTTCCAAAAACTGAGCCCTGGAACCTGTAAATGTTTTTTTTTTTGTACTGGGGATCAAACTCAGGACCTTGTGCTTGCAAGGCAGGCACCAGAACCACTGAGCTAAATCCCCAGCCCTGGAACCTGTAAATGTTGAAGAGGTTTGAGGCAAAGACCAGACAGCAGCAGTGGAGATTGAGCAAGAGGCTGTTGACAAGAAAGAAACAACACTGGGTGATAGATAGTACTATCTTGAAGGCTAAGTACAAAAGTGGTTTGAAGAAAAGACAACAACTTTAGAATTTGGTGGACTGAGGCTTGAGCTTTGATTAAAGCAATATAAAGGTGCTTTCTGGGAAGGAATTCTCTCAGCAAAGTGATGAAGCCTGATAGCATACTATTACTGTATGCAAATAGTATTTGGCACCACGCCCAGCAGTATCTCTCTGTTTTTGTTTTTTGAGACAAGGTCTGGCATTAAAGTTGAGGCTGGTTTTAAACTCGCTCTATAGCCCAGCCTGGCTTCAAACTCATGGGATCCTCTTGCCTCAGCCTCCCAAGTGCTGGGATTACCAGTGTGCGCCACCATGCCTGGCTCAGCAGTATTTCTAAGGTGTGTTCTTACTGCTTGTTGGTAAGTCTTTGACATGAATGCACTTTGATTCCAGATTGTCTTTATTTTATTTACTTTATAGCTATGATACTTGGGTCCATAGTAATGATGTTGATGCTGAAATTGAAGATCCACCAATTCCAGAAAAGCCGTGGAAGGTAAATACATTCATTCTGTCTGTCTCTGTGTCTCTGTGTCTCTATCTGTGTCCTCCCCCCCCCCAGTCTTAGTCCCTCTTTTGGCATGGTCGACAGAAGAGCCCGGGTGAACCTAACTGTTTTGTTTTTGTCTTTTGAGCCAGGGTCTCACTGTGTAGTCCAGGCTGGCCTTGAACTTGTGTTCTCCTACCTCAGCCTCACAAGTGCTGGGATTCCAAGCATGCTCCACCATTCTGGTTTCCTTGAACATATAAGTAATTTTTGACTTATGTACTCAACCCAGATTATTAGTTGGGTTTTTTTAAACTTTATTTGACATATTTCTGTTAGTGAGACGTTGGGATAAAGCTTTAGATTTCATATGTGAGAATTGAAACTAACAAAAAGTAATCTTTTCTAGGGGCCAGGGATTTAGCTCATTGGCGTCACACTTGCCAGGCAAGCGCAAGGTCCTATGTTCGATCTCTGATACCAAAACAAAAACAGCAACAAAAAAACAACAAAAACCCAAAATTAGTCTTTGGTAAAAAGTAGTTTTGTTGGGCCGGGAATTTAGCTCAGTGGTTCCTCCACCTGATTCACAAATGCAAAGTCCCAAGTTCCATCCCCCGTACCAAAAAAAAAAAAGTAATTTTGTTTTGTTTGAGATAGGGTCTCATTTTATAGTTCAAGCTGGCCTCAAACTAGTGGCAGTCCTGCCTCAGCCTTCTGAGTGCTGGGATTACAGGTGTGGACCACCATGTCTGGCAAAAGTACTTTTAGTATTTGGAGTAAATTTCTTCCTGCATTCCTGCCAGCTTTTTGTGATAGTGGGGAGTGAACCCAGGGCCTTCACACTGAGCTATGTCCCCAGTTTTTTGTGGGGTTTTTTTGTATATTGACACAGAGTCTCACCAAATAGCCCAGACTGAGTTCAAACTTTGTTTTTTTGAGTGCTGGGAATCCAGTCTAGGGCCTTGTACATGTGAAGCAGCTAAGCCATATCCCAGCCCTATGCTCATATTCTAAATTGCTCATTAGAAAGTGTTACATTTGTTTCTACTTTTCAAAGTTGAAATTCTAAATATGTAAATTTGAGAACTTCTAGCCAGCAATCCTGGTAGTCTGGGAGGGCAAGGCAGGTTAGAAGTTGAACCACAGCCGGGGCAGCTTATTGTAGTACCTTCTTTTTCAGGGTGGGGGCACTGGGAGTGGAGCTCAGTGGAACAACCCTGGCTCCACTTCCATACCCCCTTCCCCGGGGAAAAACCCATAAGCTATAAAAATGGGCTTTAGGCCCATAGCACTGTGCCTGCTTTTAGAGAACCAGTGTGAGAATTGTCCACTTAAGTGACATTTGTGTGACTTGTACATCTGTGCCCTCCATGGTTCTTGGGTATCAGGTAAAAAAGTGCTAGAAGAAAATGAGACAAGTGATGCTACACTTGTTTGGGTTTAGGAAAACAGAATGGCGTTTTCGGGGGCTTGGGATCTGGCCAGGGCCTGGGTATGCAGAGCTGCCTCTGCTCTTTTGTAGATGATGTAAGAAAACAATAAAAAATTACCATGTACATTTTTTCATTAGAAGCTTAACTAGTTGTAAAGTATATGGCTTCTGTTACATTGTAAATACCATTTTAATGTATTTCCTTTTTTTGGTACTGGGGATCGAACTCAGGACCTTGCGCTTTCAAGGCAGGTGGTGGCACCACTGAGCTAAATCCCCGGCCCTTTACTGTGTTTCTTGAAATCTGGACAACAGATTTCATAACTACCATTATCTATTTTTAAAATGAATGGACATGTTCTTTTTTTTTATTATTATTATTATTTTTTTGGTACCAGGGATTGAAGACATGTTCTTTTTAAAAAGTCAAATATATTATATATTTTCTTTTTCTCCTTGAACCTGTATTTCTGTTATAGTGGAATATTGCCACAATTAACACCTCCAAATCTTAACCTTTGAAACCTAGGGAATAGAGGAGCTAACCGTGTGCCATTTGTCGAAAAATTCAAACTGCAGTTACTCCTCTAAATCTCTGTGTTATCTTATAAAATAATACCTATATTTTTCTAATGGAAGCATATTTTCTTTTTTCTTTTGGTACTGGGGATCTAACTTGGGACCTTGCACTTGTAAGGCAAGGAGCGGTACAACTGAGCTAAATCCCTGGCCCCATGGCCCTAAATTTCTTTTTCCCTACCGGGTATGGAATTCGGGTCCTTATGCTTGCGCAGCAGGTGGCGAAACCACTGAGCTAAATCCCCGGCCCTGGCCCTAAATTTTTGAAGTCAAATTGTACGCTTTTTAGTATATGTGCTGCCGAAGTGAGCACAAATTGTATGCTTTTTTAAAAAAGTTTTTTGAGTCAGGGTCTTGCTGTGTAACCCAGGCTGACCTCGACCTCACGGCAGTTCTCCTGCCTCAGCCTCCTGAGTGTTGGGATTACCGGCATGTACCACCACACCTGGCTCAAATTGTGAATACTAATAATTACAAAAGTAGATAATAGGGGCTAGGGATTTATCTGAGTGGCACTGTGCCTGCCTTGAAAAAAAAAAATTATAGCAAAAGTAGGTAATAAAAAGGAATGCTGTAGATCAGATACCTAGAGTGTTCCATTACCTTTGAGCCCTCCTATGTTTAGCTTGGTCTGTGCCTTATCAGTCACTGTTTTAAATGTTCTGTTGACCTTTTGTCCATGTCACATTTACCACAGACATGTGTAGCTGCACCTATCCAGTTTTTATTTGGCATTTCTCTTTTTTTTGGTACCAGGGATCAAACTCGGGACCTTGTGTTTGCAAGGCAGGCGCCAGCCAGAACCACTGAGCTAAATCCCCAGCCCTATTTGGCATTTTGTAAAAGCTTTGATTATCAGTGGAGTTTGATTTGTTTGCAATTTGGTAGTAGTGAAATTGATCTAAAGAGTATGTCATGCTATATCCATCACACTGTGTGTGTGTGGTACTTTCTTTTTTTTTTTTTTGGAACCCAGGATTGAACTCGGAACGTTGCCCTTTCGAGGCAGGCAGCAGAACCACTGAGCTAAATCCCTGGCCCTGTGTGTGATATTTTTCAACTTCAGGATGTTATGAATAGTGCTGTAAACTCTTTTGGGCATGGTGTTTGCTCTTTTGTGCTCAGAATGAAATCCTTTGGTCAGAAAGTACAAACATTCACTTTTTCTAAACAGTGCCATATTGTTTTCCAAATAGTTAAAAAAATAATTTTTATACTATGACTGTTTCCTGATTGCCCTGCATCCTGGCCAGTCCTTATCAGGTGACTGTAGGGACTTGCTGAAGACTTCATTTGTGTTTCTCATGTTATTAAATACTTTCATCCTTTTTTTCATGAATTGTCTGACGTTAGGTGTTTCCTCTTGGAAATACCTGTTCCTGTTTTTTTCTTTGCATATCTTTCTCATTTCAATACTTGACACACTAACCATTGTTAGTTACATGTGTTAGAAATAGGTTTTCCTAGTAGCTTGTCTTTGTGTTTTCCAGTCTTGAAGTCATCAAGATATTCTCCTAAATAATCTTCTAAAATATTTTTAGTTCTATCTTTCTCCTATCTACCCGTAATTATAGTAATAGTACCGTAATTGTTATTTTTTGGTATTGGGGATTGCATGTAGGACCTTGTGCATGCTAGGCAGGCACTCTGCCACTGAGTTATACCCTTGACCCTTGGAATTAATTTTTTCCTAATTGTATGTAGAAAAAATATTCTGCATGGGCGGTTATATTAGTTATGTCATAAAGAAAAATGTTGAAGTTGAGTTCCTCTCTCAGATGTTTTTGTGAAAAAATAATAGAGCTTGGACAGAACTCAGTGCGGATCTAAGTTTCACTCCTAGTTAGGTGTATGAGCAGCTTACTGAAACTGCCCTAGTGTGCTGACTGGGAATGCTGGAGAATGATATCTCCACACTTCACCATGTGCAGGAGTGTAACGGGGATCATGGACGTAAGGCACTTAGTGCCTGGTACGGTTAACAGTCAACCACTGGTTTGTGTTTTTTGTTTGTTTGTTTGACACAGGGTCTGTGTTTCATGTGGTTCCATGTTTCTATGTGGTTCTGTGTTTCTATGTGGTTCAGCCTGCCCTTGAACTCACAGCAGTCCTTCTGCCTCAGCCTCCCAAGTGCTGGGATACAGTTGTGTGCCACTATACCTGGCATGTACTGAAATCTTTGAAAAGATTTTTGGATAGTTACAGGATATGCACTATGAATAGTCAGTTCTTTTTTATTTTTGAACAGTTTTACACGCTTTGGAAAACATTGTTAGACATACATTTATTTTTTAACATTGCCCCTTTAATAGTCATTTTAATTAGCTTGAGGCTTCTCATGCATTTTTTACTTATTTTGTTTATATGTTCGGGAGATTTGTTAGTTTTATCAGGTCTTTTCTCTCTGGCAGGGTGTTCTGTGTTTGTGTGCATCACTGTGTAACTTAGTTTTGTTTTTTGGTTTTTTTTTTTGGTACCTGTGATCGAACTCAGGACCTAGTCCTTGCGGGGCAGGCGCAGCGCCACTGAGCTAAATCCCCAGCCCCTGTGTAACTTAGTTTTGGGGGGGGTTTTTGGTACCGGATATCGAACTCGGGTCATTGCACTTGCGCAGCAGGCACCAAAACCCCTGAGCTAAATCCCCAGCCCCTGTGTAACGTAGTTTTGAGGAAGAGGAGGCATGTAGGCAGACAGGTGCTTTTGAGGTAAGCAAAAGGCATTGTCCTGAATAACCATTTTAACAACCTGTTCCTCCTTTTTAAAACCATGGAACAGTATGGGGCCAGGGATTTAGCTCAGTGGTTTCGGTGCCTGCTGCGCAAGTGCAAGGACCCGAGTTTGATCCCCAGTACCAAAAAAAAAAACCAAACCATGGAACAGTAGGGGATCTTAGATTGACAAAATATTTTCATGAGAGAGCCCATATTGTCTTCTAGTGATTGTCATATCTTGTACTTGGAGTTCTAGGAAGGTTTTAGAGTTGTGATTACCACAGTTTTGGCTCCCATGAGAATATTTACTGGTTCTTGGCCAGGCATGTTAATGTTGATTGCAACCAAGCACTCCACTCCCCTCCTCTTGACTTGAGATGTGAAGAACAGTTTTATACAGGGAAGAGTTATCTAGTGCCAAATTATACAAATTATACTTGAGCCCCTTTTGAGTACTGATGGAAAAAATGGAATAATAGGCTAGTAGTTTAGCTTAAATATCTGTATCTGTATATGTCATGTACAACTACCCCTGGACCCTGAAATTTTTTTATTTTTTATTTTTGAGACAGGGTCTTGTTATAGTTTAAGCTGGCCTCAAACTCAGGACAATCCTCCTGCCTCAGCCTGCCAAGTGCTGAGATTACAGGCCTGCATCACCACGCCCAGCAAGACTTAATTTTTTGTTGTCATTTTGAGAGTCTTGCTGTGTATTCCAGGCTGGCCTGGAACTTAACTGTGTAACCCTGGCTGGCCTTCAACTTGTGGCAGTTCTCTCGGGTCAGCCTCCCAAGTGCTGATGACAGGTTTGTGCCACTGTGCTGGCTCTGTTTTTTAGTACTTTTTGTTTCTTTTTCTTTTTTTTTGCTGTGCAGGGAGATTGAATCCAGAGCCTCACACTAAACTGTGTCCTCCATCCTGTATTTTTTATTTTGACATGGGGGCTCACTAATTTGCCTAGACTGGCCTTGACTTGTGATCCTTGTGCTTTAGCCTCTCAAGTAGCTGGGATCACAGGCATGTGCCATCATTGCCTGTGACTCTCCATTTTATTACTTCCCTGTCAGAAGCATCAACAAAAACGAGAAACAGTGATAGAGGAATGGGAAGAAGCCAGCACCCGAATCTCCCTCCACAGAGCCCCACGTGTACTTTCTTTTTTGGGGGGTTTTTTTTTTTTTTTTGGTACTGGGGATTGAACCTCAGGACCTTGCGCTTGCAAGGCAGGCGCCGGAACCACTGAGCTAAATCCCCAGCCCAACCCCACGTGTACTTTCTGGAACAAAGTGACATGTCTCTGTCAGCATGCTAGAGTGACAGTTGTTAGAGTGGTGTTGATTTCCTAACTCTGGAGACAGCCTTTGTGCTTAGAGCAGTGATTGTCTTGGCTGTCCTATTGACTGACTGACTTTCTTTCTAATCAGTTAAAGAAATAAAATAAAAATTAGACTAGGTAGCCAATCATGGCACATGCCTGTAATCCAGCACTTGGGAGCCTGAGGCAGGAAGATTGCCTGGAGTTTGAGGCCAGCCTGGGCTACACAGTGAGTTCAAAGCCAGCCTGAACTACATAGCAAGACCCTGTCTCAAAAAAAAAAAAAAAAGAAAAGAAAAGGCTAAGTTGTACCTCACATATGTATTACTAATAGTGTATTCTTAACCTGATTTTTGTTAACTGAGACTTTGAAAGTAACCATCTTTTTTCTTCTGAATACTTTAAAAGCTCAGGTGATTTTGTTGTTTATGTATATACTCACGCTCTGATGTGGCTTTAGGTTCACGTGAAATGGATTTTGGACACTGACATTTTCAATGAATGGATGAATGAGGAAGATTACGAAGTGGATGAGAATAGGAAGCCAGTGAGTTTTCGTCAACGAATTCCAACAAAGAACGAAGAGGTATTTCATTTGACGCCATTTCTCACCACTGGGTGTTTTCTTGTCATGAATGTTAAGAAATTGTCACTAGTAAACTCAGCAGCTTGCACCAGCCATTGGTTACATGGACAAGTTCCCAAGCAGCTGTAACCAACAACCCTGCCAGAGGTGGCAGCAGCCTTCACCTCCAATAGGCATGGAGACCCCAAAGGGTTGTTAGGATTTAAAGTAGCTCATGAGCTGGGGATGTAGCTCAGTGGTGCCGCGTGCCTGCCTCTCAAGCCCAAGGCCCTGAGTTCTATCCCCAGTACTGCAGAAATAAAAATAAAGTAGCTCATGAAGTATGGTGGTATCACAGCTGATTTTTTTTTTGCTAGATCTGAGTTTTCATTTTGTATTCCAAATATCTTCACAACATAATAGAATTCTCCTGATTTTCCTTGGAAAAAATTATTTATTTACTATCCTTTAATAACTTTGTTAACGCACAAGGAGCTGTTAGTACAAATACAACCTTAAAGGTCTTAGGTTTAAAAGTTGAGTCCTTTCTGAATGTTGGGGACTTGACATTGAATCCTTTTAAGTCCAGGAGCCTGGCGTGGTGGTGGACACCTGTAGTCCCACCACTTGGGAGGCTGAGAGGCAGGAGCATCGCCATGAATTTGAGGCTGCCCTGGGCTACATAGTTAAAGGCCAGCTTGAACTACATACTGAGACCCTGTCTCAAAAAAACAAAGCCCAGGCAGTTAAATATTTGCCTATAATTTTTTACAAGTTAGTTGTATCATTTGAAGAATGATACAAAGAGACCTATGATTCAAAATTTTCCCTGGGGATACTTATATTTATTTTGCTTTTCATTTCATACTTTAGTTTTTTGGAAAATTCTTGAGACAGGTTATCTTCAACTATTAACATGGAAAGTATAGATCTTTTATTTCTATTTGCAGCCCCATGACTTTTTCAACTAAAATTTGTTTGTTACACTTTATATATGTATTTTTTTTATTTTAAAGAAAAATGTTTTAAAGCTAATCTTTGCATTTTTAGTTGCTATTTCCTTGGGAATTTAACTCAGTAACTTTTTCTTTTTTTGGTACCAGGGATTGAACTTGGGACCTTGTGCTTATGAGGCAGGTGGCAGAACCACTGAGCTAAATCCCTGGTCCTCAATACCTTTTTGTTAGTACATGTTTATAGTACTTAATGTTTATATTCATCTACACCCTAGGTGCGTGTATTTAGCATATCTTTTTCTTTCTAGCCCATCTTAATTCTTTTTCTTTCTCTTCCACTCCCCATTGTTCTTCTTCCCTCCTAAATCTCCCCGCAAGTTTTTTTTTAGTTCATGTTTGTGACACACAATTTACATTCACTGTGGGTAATCGGTACACATACACAACATGTCCTAAATGCTTTTAGGTCTGCACAGTAGATAGGCTTATATATTTGCCTGACCTTACGGTGTGCGTGCGTGCGTGTGTGTGTGTGTGTGTGTGTGTGTCTAGGGATGGAACCCAGCATCTCTTAGACATTAGTCAAGCGCTCCACCACTGAGCTACACTCATACCCCAGAGTGGTTTCTATAATGATGCATTTCCACGGAATTAATTCTGTGACTGTCTTCCTATTTGGAGAAGCCAAATATGAGCATGAGCAGTCTCACACTGTGTGAGGTCTGGGTGTATCTGGGCTACAGCACTTCTCAAGTCCTTGTGGGACCCTGCTGGGAGTCCTCTTGACAACGCGTCACCTAGCAGGGCACATAGTGGTCTTGAGTGCTTAGTTTTGTGCTTTTCATTTACTCTTACCGAGTGGCTTTGAACAGATGTTTCTAGAACCTGAACAGGTAGAAGAGTCAGCTGATACTCATTTCCATTTACTTCTTCCTAGCCAGTCAGAAGTCCAGAGAGAAGAGATCGGAAGGCATCAGCTAATGCTCGCAAGAGGAAACATTCGCCTTCACCTCCCCCTCCTACACCCACAGAATCACGGAAGAAAAGTGGCAAAAAGGGGTAAGAACTGGGCACAATTCAGAAGACATCACAATCTCCCAAGGGCTTTGAGACTTTTTGCATTTACTTGGGAAGTTTTGCTGACATTGAAGTTAGACTTTGACTCGTTGAGTCTTTTGACAGCTTATACTTGTGGAATATTGTCCTGCAAGCATTTTATGTTGTATTTATCCAAAGGCACCTTGAATATTGTTTTTTTCTGTAGGTCAGTGTGCCCTGAGAAATGTAACTGGTAAAAAGTTTCACCATAGTTAAAGTGTCTCTCTGATTTTCTCACTTGCGCATTTTGATCAGACCGACTCAGAAGAACTTGTAGCTGTTCTGTGTTCTGCACAGTGTAACAGACATAGTCTTTGTCAGACCAATATGCTGTGCCTTGCTGGAGTGAGGGTTGTGGTTCCTCCTGAGTGGGTTGCAGTAGGGCTTAAATGAGACTTACTAAAACCCTTGTACAATGCCTGATCTGAAATGTGTACTTTTTTTTTTTTGGTACCAGGGATCAAACTCAGGACCTTGTGCTTGTGAAGCAGGTGCAATGACACTGAGCTACATCCCCGACCCTGAAATGTATACTTATTAGTGATAGATTATGCTTAAGAATTTATTACATATTAAAATTTCAGGTTTGTCTGGCTCAAAATATTTTTATATAATTTTGCAAAGGTTGTGGTTTTGTCTTAGAAAATGACAGTTTGCAAAAAATGGATTATTTTTCTTTAAGCATGTATTGAAAAATTCATTTTCATAAGATTTTGATTTCTAACTAGCTGGATTATAAAGATATACTGGGCATCTTGTATTCAGTTAGCTTCCTTATACAGACTTTTCTCTGTAGCAGATTGTCATTTGTTTCTCTCGAACATGTCTTGAATTGTGTTAGTCCCTAAAGGGTAAGGTTATCAGAAACACTCTTTTTGATTTGTTTGGGTTTTTTTTTTCTTTTTCCAGTATCCAGAATTGAACTCAGGACCTTGCGCTTGCAAGGCAGGCGCGATGCCACTGAGCTAAATCCCCAGCCCTCAGAAACAGTTTTTATTTATATGTTTTTCTTTATTTGCGGTACAGAAGGTGCACCTCAGAGCTCCACATATGATATGGAAGCACTCAACCACTGAGCTGTGCATATAATAATAACACATACAAACCTTTAGAGGAATGTAAAAAAACAACAAATTATTAGCTTCATATTCATGTTAGCCAGTCATAATCATAAATCAGATTTTATTTTTGTTAAACCACACCTATTGTGACATGAAAGTTAAAAACCTTAAAGGTGGCTTTTCCTCTAGGATATCACTGTAGGTTATCTTATTTCTTAAGTTTCTAATCTGAATCTGATATTCAGATTTCAGAGCTCCCTAAGACCTTTGTGAGGAATGCCTTCACAATTCATGAGCTGATGTGGAACACCAGCACAGCTAGCGGTTGTTGAACTGAGATGTAATACCCAGCAGACTCACTGGGCTGGCCTTTACCTGTTACCCTGAGTATGAAGCCTACTAGATTGGATTTTCTTGAGTATGCATCTGCTTTTTCAGCCCTGTGCTTAGGGATTAAACCCAGAGCCTCATGTATTCACAGCTGTGCTTTAATCGGACATTTGCCTTTAATGGACAGGCTTTTTCTCATTTGAAGTTTTTCCTGAGGGCTGGGGAGAGCTCAGAGATAGAGCATATACTTAGCGTGGTTGTGGCCCTGGGTTAATCTCCAGCACTAAGGAAGAAACATTTTCTTTCTTTATTTTATCTTTTTATTACTACATGTTTGAAATACATGCAGTTTACAACCATCTTGGGGAATAGGTACACAATACAGGTCTTTAAAAAAAAAAAATCTCCTTCCCCTCCCCACTTCTGATTCCCCTAGCCCAACATTCATTCATTCATTTCGTTCATGTTATGGCATATAATGTTCATATTCATTGAGGTTATCAGGTTCCTGTACACGGCACATCTTTATTCGACTTATTTTCCCTTCCCCCTCCTCACCTCTCATCTTGTTCCCTTGGACCTCTTCCCTATTGTCCCCTTCTGTCCATCCTTTTTATTCTCACTATACTTTGCCTCACTCAAATGAGAGACACCCATACAGTATTTAAGCTTGTGTGTCTGGTTTATTTGAAAAAATATTTTCTTAGAATCCTATGTTTACCAGGAACATAGGGAAATCTGTTTTTCTAATGTTTGTTTTATTCATCTTCTGTGCATTTTTTCCTCTTTTAAAAATTTTTACCTCCCTGAAACCTTTAAGTTTTATGGGCTTTAAAAGATCATCCTGTAATTTTTATTTTGGAAAAAATTTTAACCTTATGTACTTCACTCTTGCCCATAGCAGTTTGTTGCTCTTTAAAGAGATCTCTTAGGATTTTCTTTGCAGTGTGAAGCTCAGCTGGCCTAGCATGCTGTTTCAGTCAGCTCTTTCTCCATTCCCATTTGCATTCATTGGTGCACTCTAGATTACTATTATAGCCCTAAACAAGTTAGTTTTTTGCTTAATACCTCACTACCACCCCTTTCACATTGAACCCAGGGCCTCCTCAGGCATGGTAGGCAGGCACCGTACTGCTGAGCTCTGTTCCTAGTTTTTTTTGTTGTTGTTTGTTTGTTTTTGGTACGTGAGATCAAACTTGGGACCTTGCACTATCGAGGCAGGCAGCGGAACAACTGAGCTAAATCCCCAGCCCTCCTCCTAGTTTTTTTGATTTATTATTTTGAACCAAGGTCTTGCAAGGTTGCTCAGGCTGGCTTTAAATTTGGAATCCTCTCACCTCAGCCTCTGAGGCACTAGGGTTACAGGTGTGCACCACCTTGCCAAGGTTAGCCAGCCTTTCCTATTTTTCCTGAAACATTGTCTAATTCTTCGCAAATTCTTTCTCATTTGTAAAGGTTCAGCATACCTGTCACTTCCAGTCCTTCCTAATTCTTTCTCTGTAATGTATTTTTTCCTCTGTGATGTATTTTTCAAACCTTTTATTCACTTCTTTATATTTTCCAGTACCCAAGTGCAGTGTTTATTGTATTCCTCTATATTGTTACACATCACATTATGTGAGATTAGTAATGATTTTTGTCCTATATCCCTTATTATTCTCCAAGATAAAGAAAGTCATTCCCATTTTTGTTGATCCTTTTAAGACACATTAATTTGAAAGATAAGTAATGGTTTGTTTTGTCAGAGAAAGAATACAATATTTATAAAAGAGAATAAGTACCGAACTGATTTTACTTTATAATTCGCAATACCTAGATGATAAAAAGAGCCAGGAAAATACAGTTGTCTATATCTTTGAGAGAGATTGTGCTGTATTTCTTTTACAGGTGTTCTTTTATTAGCTTAATTTAAGCTCCCTTCAAGATACTGTGTAATTTTGAATGGTAGGATTTCTGTCCTCTTTTTTTGTTTGTTTCTTTGAAACAAGGTCTTTCTGTGTAGTGTAGACTGGCCTTGAACTCACTGTGTAGCCCAGGCTGGCTGAACTCATGGCAGTCCTCTTGCCTCAGCCTCTCCAGTGCTAGGCATGTGCCACCACGACTGGCTCATCTGTACTGGTTTCTTATACTCAATAGTTTTTTTTGTCTTTTTAGCTGGTTAGATTTCATTTGAGGAATGTGTCTAATTTGGTTATTATTTGGCTTTAAAAGTGACTCTGAGCATAGATAATAACAATAATGAAGATAGTGGTCAGAAATTGTTTGCTGTAAGAAGCTGTGTTGGTTTCCTTTTTATTTTATGTGTTTTGTCTGTTTTAGCCAAGCTAGTCTTTATGGGAAGCGCAGAAGTCAGAAGGAGGAAGACGAGCAAGAGGATCTTACCAAGGACATGGAGGACCCAACACCAGTACCCAATATAGAGGAAGTAGTGCTCCCCAAGAACGGTTCGTATTCTTTGTGAGACTGCTACGCGTCATTTCATCTTGGGATAATTTGTACCTTACTGTGCACTGTAGTTCTCCACTTTCAAATACGAATAGATTCCCACTTTTCAGATTAGCCCTTTTGAAATTCCTTGTTTCCCAGTTATTTGTTACATGCTTGCTGTTCATTTATGGAGAAAACATACTGTGAGCAAATACCTAAATTTAGTAAGCTTTAAAGTTAATGGTGCTTTAATCCTAACAGAATTAGTATTGTATCAAAAACTGGAATATTGATGTATAATTTAAGCCTGTTTAAATCTCATACTTTTTTTTTCAGCGGTATCGGGGATTGAACTCAGGACCTTGAGCTTTTGAGGTAGACAGTGGCACCACAGAGCTAAATCCCTGGCCCCAACCTGTTTAAATCTCTAGGCATTGCTTTGTGTGAATGCAAACTTGAAGAGTTCTAGTATTAAATTTTATAGGTTAAATATGGTAAATCAGTTATTGCTCGTGAGTTGTATGATGAAGCTCAGAATGTGGTTCAGATGTTTATGGTTTCTTGTTAATTGACCATCACTCCTTTGTGTCTTTAGTGAGCCTGTAATAAAATTTTCAGAAATAAAGTCCAGTACACTCCAGAAGTAAAAGACACACTACAGGCGTTTAATTTATCCCTCATCATCACCCACTTCATGGTTAGGGTGGCTCCTAAATAAGAGACCACATAGGTCTTGTGGTAGTTTTATAGCTCTCCTACAAATCACCCAACTCTGTAATGCAGAATTTCATCAGAGGCTAGAAATGTGGAAAGTAGAAATGAAATCATTGAAGTTGATAATTTTTTGGTTTTATTTTTTAACTTGCTATAAAGTTATAGGAAAAGTTAAAACTTTATCTCATTATGAGAAGTCAAATTAGTTTTTATCAAATGTCTAAAATGAAGGAAGTCCTTGAACTGAATTACTCTATAAGGTATCTGTTAATCTTTTGTATTTCTATGGGCAATAAAAATTGAAAAAGTTAAAAAAAAATACAGTGTAAGATTTAGATTAAGGTGTTTACAAAGCATGTAACTATCTGATCTAAATTTTATGCAAGGACAGAAAAGAATCTAGGAAAACAATAGACTCGAGTTGTGGAGACATTTTAAAGTGTAAGAAGCTTTTTAGATCTGAATAGTAGAAGAATGGGATAAGTTTCAAAATACAAGGAACCTACAGAAGAAAATAAGAGAAGACTGAAGGGATTAGGAGGCTCTGAAAACGGCAGATGGCAGATGATAAAAGAAGCGAGATGGAGCACTGATACTTCGGGTCTCTGAATGTATGTGTGTGGCTCAGTGGTAGAGCACTTGCCTCTCATGCAGGAGGCCTCCATAGGGTGCACTGGCCCCATTCGTAAGGGCTCTGTCCACATGAACGCCTTACTTTCCAAAGGCCCCACCTGCAAATGCCATCACATTAGATGGGGTTTCAACAAATGATTTTTTGGGAGACAAAATATCCAATCTATTAATGTATCTTTTCCATATAAAATCTATTTAAAATGAGTCATCTAGTTCAACTAAAAATATAAAAAGTTTACCAGAATATAATTTGATTCATACCTTTTCCCGTCTTTTTGATGTTTATGTATATTTTACTTCACATGTATTACCATCCCAACACCGTGTCTTTTTTTCATTGTTGTGAAATTTTTTCATTGTGAAATTTCATTGTTGTCAAATTTTGCCAGATGTGGTGGCACAAACCTGTAATCCCAGCGCTAGGGAGGCTGAGGCAAGACAATCCATAAGTATGAGGCCAGCCTGGGTTACATAGTGAATTGAAGGCCAGCCTGCGCTACAAAGCAAGACCCTTTCTCAAAAAACCAAACAACAACCACAGCAAAAACCCAGTCAATTGTATTTTTAGGGACTTAGATACAAAAAAATAGCCATTTCTTCCAAAATGTTGTCCTAAAAATCATTTTATTATAAAAAATTAGGCAGTTAAAACTTGCAATTTACCAATATATTTTTAAGTTGATTTGAAGAGAAAAAAAACTTAAAGAAGTAGTCAGAAGATTCAGTGAGAGAGCTGTGAAAGTGATGGTACCCCAGGAGATAATTACACTGAAAGTCAGTGGTGATTCATGTAATTCGGTTTTGACACAGGAATGGCTGAATCAACCATTGTAGTAGAATGGCCATTTCTAAAATAGATCCATGTTTCTTCGTGAATGTTATTTGTGATGAACTTGGCATCGCATATTCCTGGGGAAACATCAGACTGTTCCATAAATACTTAATACACTTGTCAGATGTGGTGGTGCATGGCTGTTATCCCAATACTTGGGAGGCTGAAGCAGGAGGATTGCTGTGAGTTCGAGGCCAGTCTGAAATACATAGCCAGGCCATCTCAAAAAACAAGCAAAAATACTTAATACATTTAATATTCCTCTCTGTATCATATATAGGAGTTTAAACTTTGTGAATAAAAAACTAAAATGAAAGTTCAAATCCTGTTGCAGTTTAAACATGTACTAGCAGAAAATACTCAATAAGCAAATGACTAAAATATTAAATACATGTAGAAATTCTAAACCTGATAGAGAATGTAAGTCAGTCTTATGTACTAGTAATTTATCACAAATACAGAGCCAGTCTGTGTGAATAAATGGCCAACTTCACTGAACCAAGGATGGTTTTCAAAATTTAAAAGGTAGATGGAAAAGTATAAATGTTTTTGGAACATGGCTACTCTCACACGATCTTGGTGGAAGTCTGAATTGATAGGGCCCCTTAGCACAGTTTGGCTGTGTCTATTAAATTTTAAAACGTGTATATTTTATAATACGAGCTTTAATTTTCATGGGTAATTACACGCACAGACAAAAAGCATGCTGTTTACTGAATAGTGAATTACTGAAAATAACCTTAGTTGCCATCAATGTAGGGCTAGTTAACTTATGGTGTACTCATGGGCATACTCTGGACATGGAATAATGAAGGAATTTTATTTCAAACTCTACCTAAATGATCACAGAGGCACATCGGACATGAGAAAAAGCAAGTGTTAAGGAATAAGCACGGTATGGATAACACATGAATGTTATATACACAAGTTTGAAAAACTCAGGATTATTTTCATCATCTTTGTGGGGTATCTAAAGGATATTAGATCTTCAGTTGATCTATCTGAATGAATTGATGGGACAGAAATGAGAATCAACAAATGCACAAAAAACCTTTGGGGAAGAGACGCAGAAATTCCTTTCATGTTTTCATGTGAATATATCTGTATAATGAAAATACATTGCTGCTTGAGTAAGTAGAAAATGTAGTCTCTTAAATGTTCATGTTTTGCACCTGGGCTTGTGGTATTTGTAGGAAGGTGGGTGGTGAGTTGTGTTGGAGTCCAAGAAGATGCATGTCTTTTTTTTTTTTTTTTTTTGGTGCCGGGGATTGAACTCAGGACCTTGTGCATGTGAGGCAGATGCCCGAACCACTGAGCTAAATCCCCGTCCCTGCATATCGTTTTTGATCATGTTCTTTTCTGTTTTCTCCTTAAAAAATAAGCACGTTTCTGTTTTGTCTTCTAGTAAACCCAAAGAAAGATAGTGAAAATACACCCGTTAAAGGAGGAACTGTGGCAGATCTAGGTAAACACAATTTCCATTTGTCTTTTTTCTCTCTTGAATTTATCATCTGTAATACTCCTTTCTTTCCTGAGAACTGTTCTGTTCTTACCCCCACCAGATCCTGTGGCTACTTTAGAACCATCACAATTCTGTTGCTAATGTGTTAACAAAGTTAATTTTCTGTGATCTGTTGTTTCCATTCTCAGTAAACTCTCCCTCAGGGAGCAGTGTTTTTCTACAAATTAGCAGTTTGGTAATGTTTTATTTAAACTTGAATGTCTGAGTTTTAAATAAATTAATTAAAATACTTTTGCAGTCTTCCTGAAATACTTGTTTCATTTTTAAAAAATACTTGTTTTATAACATACGTGTAGATTTTGAATATTGGGTTTGTTTTGTTTTTTGAGACAGTGTCTTGCTATGTAGTTCAGGTTGGCCTTGAACTCACTATGTAGTCCAGGCTGTCCTGAAACTCTTGGTGATGTTCCTGCCTCAGCCTCCTGAGTGTTGGGACGACAGGTGTACGCCACCATGCCCAGCTGAAGATGAATTATTTATTTATTTATTTTATTTATTTACTTTTGGTACCAGGGATCGAACTTGGGACCTTGCATTTTTGAGACAGGTGCCGCCACCACTGAACTAACCCCCCGGCCCTGAATTTAAATTTTTAGAACAAAAATCTTTTTGCTGTTAACACTTTGAAAGCCAAGTTGTTGTGCTTAAGCAGTGTAAAAGGAGAATTTCACATTTTTAAAGTTCAGCATCCATGGAGGACTGGCTTCATGACACCTGTGAATACCAAAATCCTATAAAAGAGAACATAGAATTTCATATACTCTCTGCACATCTGCCATATATTTTATTTAAAAAATTTTTTAAATGTTTTAATTTATTTATTCATTTTTGGTACTGGGGATTGAACTGAGGACTTTGCACTTGCGAGGCAGGCGGCAGCACCACTGAGCTAAATCCCTGGCCCTCAAAAAAAAAGTTTTTAGTGAACATGTTTTCACATTCTAGCCAGGCTGTTCTGTTTTCACATTCCTCGGCCTTCCAGAGGGAAATGCATCTGCACCCAGTTTCCATTGCATTGATTTTTTTTTTTAAGTGTACATCTTTATTTGATGGCCTTATATATATTTTTTGTTTCTTTTTTTGTGTGTGTGGTACTGGGGATCAAGCTTGGGTCCTTGCGCTTGCGCAGCAGGTGGCAAAACAACTGAGCTAAATCCCCGGCTCTGCATTGCATTGATTCTTGACGGCAGATAGGATTGGGTGTTTGAAAGAGTTTTTCTACTTCTTCTATTAAATGCACACATCTATAACCCTAGCTGCTTGGGGGTCTAAGGCAGGATGATTTCAAGTTTATGGCTACCTTGGCAACTTAGTGTATGACCTTGTCTCAAAATAGAAAAAGAGCTGGGCATGTAGCTCAGTGATAGAGTGCTTCCGTACTATATGTAAGCCTCTGGGCACTGTGCCCAGAAATGTAGTGAATAAATATATATAGAAATACATCCTGCATTTCCGTATTTCCTGGCTTATGCAATAGGAGTGTGTGTTGGTGGGTGATTTTATTTTTATGTCTTGATGACAGTATAAAGGAGGCATTATATAAACAAAAAGAAAAGGTACCATCAAAACATTTCTTGTTTCAACATCATTAATGGAATCTAGATCTTGAATAGCCTTTAATTATTTATATTATCCATAAATTTATGTTGCCTGTTCTATAATCATACTTAGCTACTGAATCAGTGCCAAATCAAATGTTAATTATATGCTGTCTTTTCTATTCCCAGTAAACTGACAGAGTGAAAGATTAAAACTTGATGCTATTCCCTGGGACAATTTGCTAAACAAAGTGACAGTTTAAATAGTGTAGAGATGTTTTTTGAAAAGGAATCAATCTATAATTTGAGTAGAGTGGAAAATGTCAGTATAACTGAGGTAATCAGTGGAGTTAAATGGAAGCTAATTTTAGAGAAGGGTTAGGGAGCCCAGCTAGAAGGAAGTTTTTAGTGGTACATATAAAAGGATGCCCCTTGTTCCTTTCTGGTTATTTACTTTTTTTTTGTACTGGAAATCGAACTCAGTACCTTGCGCTTGACAGGCAGGCACCAGAGCATTTGTTTTCTGGCAGCTTTACCTAGATTTTTTTCTCTTAGTTAATTTGCTAGGAAGAAAATAGTCTCTCTTTGCAATGTTGGGTGGCATCTGTTGGTAGCTGGTACTGTACTGTTCTACACTCTGAGCCCTGTTGCTGTGACCAGGTATTTGTTGCTCCATCATATGTCTAGCAGGCAGTCCCTGTTTCTCTTACCTGAGTACTTGCTAGTATCATTCTCCATATGTTTGCTCTTCACTATTAAACCATGTTAGCCCTGTTTTCCTGATTAGGAAAATGAGACTGAAGCACTTTGGTATCCTCTTCTCAGT